AGTGTACAAGGCTCTCTTGCGCCTTGTGCTGCCACCGTAGTCCCATGGGAGCCCCTTCGCGGTGACGATTTGTTCAGCCACCCATTGGCCTTCTTCCGGTAGCCGACGAAGGGATCGCGTCTCGAAGGCGCCGGTGTCACTCAAAAGAATGTGGCTGCCATTCTTCTCATTGATCCCGGCCCACACTCCTTTCCTCCATTGCAAGTCTCCTTTGTACTTGGTGGGGCAAAACCCAATACAGCACTCACCAAACTGCACAAGCTGTCCGCGGTAACGCCGGCCATGGACCACCTCGTACGGAGGAAGGCCCTTGCATGTGGTGAAGAAGCGGCTGTGCAGGAAGGCCGCGTGGGCCATGATCCAGCTAAAGAGAGGCATCTGGCCGCTCAGCTTGATCTTCGCTCGGTCCTCCAGATGGGCTTCAAAGTAAGCGCCAGCCTCCTCACTGTGCTCACCGCCTTCTCTGCAACACCATTCGAGGCATGAGAGGCCCGAGGAACAAAGCGAGGCTCTGTTCGGAGGCCCAGCCTCACCCTGCACGCCTGCACTGCGTGCACCACTTGTTTGGCTGCGGGCTCGGCGTCGGACTGGAGCACCACATCTTCAGCACCTGCAATCTGCATTGTTGTTCTGACCAATGTCTCCGCAACTCTCTTCAGGGTCGTGCTGCCCTTGGCCAGCACAGGCACCACCGTTATCCACCCAGAGGTGGACTCTCCAGCCACCAAGTTCAGCCCAAACTGGTCGCGGTAGTCGGGCTTCTCGGCCTCTGCTGCTTGCTCCTCCTTGCTGGCTGGCTCGGTCTCCTCTGCTTCTTCTCCACCTCCAGGCTGCTGCTCTTCCTCCCCGCGCTCTTTGGTCAAGGTGTAAAAGTAATCTATCTGGAAGACAGGTCGGCGCTCTGCCTCCTTCACCTCCGGGCTTTCCTTGGGTGGCGGCTTGTCCTTGTGAGGGCTCTGGCGGCTGCGCCCAAGGACACAAGCCGGGCACCAAGATGCAAACGGCTGGCGCGTCACTGCATGCAGTGCTTGCTGCCTAGCGCTCGGCAGCACGGGTGCCACCGGGATGTCCGGACTGCGCTCCGCCTCGTCGAACATCTTCTTTGCAACCTCGGTGGCCAGCTGCTTTGCAAGAAGCTCCTTCTGGGTGCGCAGGCGTCGGAGCACTTTTGCTTTGGAGCCGCTGGTTGCCACACCCAATCTGCGACACAACTCCTTGAGCACATGGAGAGGGGTCTCAAGGGACAGCTCCACATCATCAATCATATTGTCGCGCTCGTCCTCCTCCGGCCCTTGGCCTGCAACGTCCCTTTCGGCCCAAACTCCGCGCCCCTCGTCCTCATCCTGCTGCTGGTCTGCTGGGGCTACCATCGGCTCGTCGGCGGGCGGCTCCTTGAACAAAGCGCCCGGGTTGCTGAGCAAATTCTCCCCGAGCTCCTCCACATGGAAGAGCACCGCCACGTCGTGGGAGTCAACAAGCTCGGGCTCAATCTCGGCCAGAGTTTTCCCGCCACTCGGGAAAAGCAGCGTGTGCCTGGCTGGGGCTTCCGGCCTGCCGGCTCCTTCCTCACGAAAATTGCCATGTGTGACCAATCGTCGGCCTCCCAAAGAGAGGTCTCCAGGCTGACGTTCTTGGTGTTGTGGATAGTCAGGAGAGGAAGCCCTGATGGCAAGATTGCCCAGCCGGGCTGCTGCACTGCATCTTCAGCCTCAGGGGGAAGAGCACCGGCGTCACAAGCCAGGATCGTCGACACCACCGCCGTGAGCATGAGGGTGTTGCGCTTCAGCCAAATAGGCACCTGATTTCCACCACGGGCAATGGTAGGACCCTCTGGCCCGTGCCCAAGAACCCAGCCACTGCGAAGGAGACGGCCCAGGGAGAGGATCACCGAGTTCACGGCCGCAATCGCAAACTTCTCCCGGATCACCACCTCATTGCCGCCATTGTCCCGGGTCGTAATGGTGAGCGCCCGGGTGCAGTCCTCAACGATCTGCTTTCCTTGGGCGTCCTGCATCTGTACCCCCGACGGCGGCTGTGGAGTGCCATGCCGCCTGAACCTAAGGGGTGCTACCGAGATGTCGGCACCACTGTCCACCACAATGGCGGTCTGAGCTGCATCCGCGCGGGCCGCCTTCACCATGAAACTCCAGCTCCCCTGCTTCTCAGCTCTTCCTCAGCAGCCTCTGGGCTGTATGTCCACTCGTCGTCTCCATCTGAGCTGTCCAGGGAGTACCACTCTGGGCCCTGGGCCACCTTCACCATCATAATGTTGAGGCCTTCCAGGCTGAAGTCGCCCGGGTCGCTGTCAAGCTCCGTCACCGTGTCGTAGCCGCTGGGTGGTGTCCCTAGCCGGGTGCCTAGGTCCTCAAACCTGACTGCGGAGACCTGGTTCACCGTCGAGGGGGTCCGGACAGCACTCGCGCTCGTTGAGGCGCTGCTCTGGTTGGAGTTCCAGCTGCCTCCAAGGTTGCTGGCCTCCTCCACTTGCCGAACTCCTTTGCCACCTTTGTTTGGGCACTCGTTCTTCCAATGCCCAGTCTGGCCGCACAGGTGGCATGTTCCAGGCTTTCCCTTTCCTCCACCTTTGCCGCCCTTTCCCCCTTTCGGCTGGTTGCCGTGGTCCTTCTGCTTCCAGCTGCTCCACTTCCACTGGTCACCTTGGCTGTTCCACTTCCATTGGTCGGCCTGGCCGTTCCACTTCCACTGGTCGGCCTGGCTGTTCCACTTGCCTTTGCCGCTGTCTTGCTTGCCGTCTTTGCCCTTGCCCTTCTTGCCCTTGTCGCCCTTCCCCTTGCCTTTGGGGTCCTTGCCCTTGTTGCCCTTGATGCGGTCGATATCCATGGGTGCCGGCCCGTGGTCCTGGGCCCTGCCGCCAGGTCGGGTAGGCAACGAGGAGGACCAAGGGGTATTAATGGCCTCGTAGTGCAGCACCCATTCCCTCAGGTCAGAGTAACGCGTGCTGCTTGTCATCCGCAGCTGCACCTGGCTTCGAAGAGGCTCCTTGAGACCGCTTGTGATCGTCGCGATCTGGAGGTCCTCCGGGTACGACTTGCCCGAGGAGCTCTCATAGCCCTTGACCGCGTCCTCATAGGCTATGATTTGCTCGTGGAGGTTTCCCTCCTTGAAGGTCCATGCCGCCAACTGGCGGACAATTGCCAAAGAGCGCGATCGCTCCTTCGGCTCCATCTCCCGGCGCAGCAAACGAATGCACTCAAAGCCGTTTTTCTCCTTCTCCTGGGCCCGGACAATAAGCAAGGGCCTGTTTCGCAGCACATTGCAACGCACACCGAAAAGCTTCTGTGACCTCGCCACAGCCGGCCCATCCAGCAAAGCGTGGTCCACGGCCACATCCACATCAATGGCCTCCAGGTCGGCTTCATACTCCTCGTCGTGAGCAATCAGCCACGTGCTCAGCTGAAAGCTCCATTCACGCCACGTCTTCAATTCATCTTCTCGCGAGCTAGGCTTCCAAGCCTCGAGCTTCAAGGCCTTGGTGATGCCCTCTGCCTTGTTGGCCGTCGCCTGCTTCTCTGCAGCTTCGGCCGCCCGTTGGGTAGCAGTCAAAACCTTCCCGAACACAGACCCAAAAGCTTGCTCAAGCCTCTGGCGCACAACTGTGTCCACCTGCTCCTGCATCTGAGGGTTCAGGCCTCCAGCTCCTTGGGCTCCATCTTGAGATCCCTGTGCCATTGCTCCACTTGCTCGGCCAAAGGGTAAATACTCTCCAGCCAGGTCCCTTGCCAGTCGCCACCAGCCAAGAAACCCACAATATTGTAACCACTGCGGCTCTCCAGGCCCACATGCACTGATGTACCACTGAGGCCTTCCAAGCCCACACGCGAGATTCCACTGAGGCGTCCCAAGCCCACACGCACTGAAATTCCACTGCAGCCTGCCAAGCCCACAAGCACTGAGGTACAGCTGCGGCCTTCCACGCCCACAAGCGCTGAAAAACTCAAGTTCCGGATCTGCCTCGCCACCAGGAGGTCTTACGAAAAGTCGAGATTGCGGGTGGGCAACCGCAGTTGCAGCCTCCCGTGTCTGCAGGCACAGTAAAGTGCAGCTGCAGAAGAAAAGAGCTCTTATCCGGTGAAACGTGTGGTACCCAAAGCCTCGGGGCTTAATG